TTACCTCACGACCGCGACTACCCCGCGCGCCCGACCTCTCCACGCTTGCCTCCAGTGGCGTACGCGCGCTGCCTGGAAGTAACGGACATCCGTGCGCGTGCGCTTGTCTCCCGCCTATACTTACTATTACTTTCCTTCTGATTGGCTAACCTGGAAACTGAATCAGGCAGGAACGTCGGCCTTTCTGCCTTTGCTGATTGGGTTGACGAGTTCGTTGTTCCTTTAGATTCGCATAGGAGCTGATTGGTGGCTCAGTGTGGTCTCTTTTTGTGACGTAGTTCTTTTCATTTGGATCGCAACGCAGCGCGAGCCTTTCATTTGTTTATGTCGGAAGTAAAAAAATTCTTCTGGTAATACTAAATAACTTTATTTGTGGGTCTATTTACTAAATTTATCAAAAGAGAAAATATAAGCAGAAGCAGGGATAAATGTTATTCCAAAATCCATGGTATTGGATTTTGTTATTCCGTGGTATTCCAAAATCTTGTGTTCTCCATAGAAACCTATAGATTTATTGTATGATTATTGAATAAGCTTTCACAGGTCACAGTCCACTTCAGATGCACATATAGATAGTTCTCGACTTACAACAGTTCATTTAATGACTGTTCAAAGTTATAACAGCACCGAAAAAAGGGACTTATGACCATTTTTCACATGACCGTTGCAATAGCCACGTGGTCACATGATCAAAGTTCAAATGCATGGCAACTAACTCATATTTATGATGATTGCAGTGTCCCAGGATCATGTGATCACCTTTTGTGACCTGACAAACAAAGTCAATGGGGAAGCCATATTCACTTAACAGCCATGTTACTAAGTTAATAACTGCAGTGATTCATTTAACAACTGTGACAAGAAAGGTAAAATGGAACAAAACTCATTTAACAAATGTCTCATTTAGCAACAGAAATTTTGGACTTAATTGTAGTCATAAAAGTCGAGGACTAACTGTAGTCCTGACACACAGACACACACAATGGTCCTGGGAAGAGAAGAAGTATGAAAGGCAATGAGAAGCAGAACTGCCTATAATTAATTACTACAAGTAGATCTCAATTAATGAATGAATCCCACAAAATGGGATTATTCACATTATTCAAAGTTACATTTCTGTGGAAAATATGGTAACTGATTCCAGCTTGATGGAAGAGGCAAAATATTTAAACATTCATTTTATATTAGTTATAGTAAAGGATAAAAAGAATTGAATTCAATTGTATGTATAGCAAAGTCACAGAACAATTATAGAAAGCAAAATAAAAACTAAGAATTATAAATATAATTTCTAAAAGCTTACACTGACAAAAAAATCTTTTATTGTCTCAAAATATTTTAGTAGAATGAACTACTGTTTTTCTTTAAATCTTTATACATATTCTGATAGATGTATTCTGATATTCTGATAGAGTGTTTTATCCACACCTAACTTGCATATTTCAGTTGAGATTAGGGTCAACATAATTTTTTGCTTCTTGAGCTCTGCAGCTCAAAAGATATTTTCACTTTCTGTGACAGTGCATTTCACTTCCACAGAACTATTTTCCAAGGACTAAGTCATCCTTTTCTCGGTTTTGCATACACAAAATTAGTGTCTAAATGCATTGTACCTGTGTTAGCCTCAATTATTTATGTGCTAGTTTCACATTGACTGAGAAACTGAGTTGCATTAAATGTGACCTGATATCATTTACAATTTGCATTACATTGAATACTGAATCATTTAAACTCACACCATAATCACAAGTTATCTACATTAATAAAGAAGTAAATAATGTATTAGGCTTTCAGAAAACTTAAGAGCTGGATTTTTTATTTGCAAATTTGTCCAATTATAGTCAATACTGTATCTAGATATTTGGACAGCATGAAATAAAAACAAACTGATTTAAAACTGTGATAAAAAAAATCAAACCATGTCTCACTTATTAAGACACAGATTGAAACTGTGATTGTAAAGTTGAAAGGTGAGGAATTATAAACAAAATCAAAACCTATTGAGCTATCTTCAAAGTGAGAAAAATAAAGTAGCTATAAAACTGGGTAACAAAAGACATAAGAACAAGTTATAGGAAGGAGTTACGTTAAAATACAATTGATTTTAGCTAGCAGTCAACACCTGGTAGCTTTTGCATGATGATACATAAAAATTACCAAGATTATATTATAGGGAGATTGGAGTGAGAGTAATCGATGCAAACTTGGTTTGGATAGGCAGCCTTAAAACATGAGAAAATCAAGGCATTGCAAATCCATCTATATGTTACTAAAACTCTTATTCCTTTAACCTGTAATAGGGTGAAACAGTGCAGCATAGGACAACTTTTTGAACCAAGGTACCTGAAATGGGCTAACTTCCAAAATCCAGGTGCCAAGACTCATATGGAACTAAGATTTTATAGTTTTTATAAAACATTATATGAAAAAAAAATCATAAAAGTTATGACATAATACAAAATGTCATAAAACATTTCCTATGCTGTTGTTTCAATATGCTATATAGTTCAACATGTTTTTTTCAAGGCAGATACATGTATAAAAGTATCACAACTTTTCCAGTAAAGCAGTTCATTAAAAGCTCTGTCATAGTTGAAGGCATGATAAAAAAATATCACTGAAAGGATGATCCAAGGAGTCATGAGTTGTCCAGTCCGTATCCTACTAAAACACTGCCCTTTAACTATATGTATTTTTTAACAGTTCATCACAGGGCAACAATTTTTGAACCTCAACTGGACTAATTTACAGAAAGCATCCAAAATCTGGAACCAGTAACTCCTGTGGAATTGAAATGTGGCAAATTTTATAAAATGTTTTGACATAATATAAATTATCACAAAATATTTCTTGTGGTCAGTTCTTGGTGTTTGACTATGCTATAGTTCCAGGATGGCAAACCTGTGGCACACGGAGCCATTTCGCCTGGCATGCGTGGCATCACCCTTTCCTCTTCCGGGTTTCTGGCGCGCATGTGCGCGCAACGATCAGCTGGCCTTTTTGTGTGCTGCAGTGCCGGAAACTGGAAGAGGTGGTCTTCCATTTTCCTGCGTGAGCATGCGCGCTGGCCAGCTGATCATCGCGAGCGCATGTGCGCCAGAAACCCAGAAGACAATCTGGCCAGCACGCATGCGCCAGAAACCGCAAGTTCATTTTCAGGTGTGTGCATGTTCTATTGGCAGCTCCTCTTCCGGGTTGCGGCCCAGACATGCAAAGCGTGCGTGCTCCCTTTTCAGCACTCGGTGCCAAAAAGGTTCTACATGACTACTATAGTTTAACATGGGTTATTTTTTAAGGCAGATAGATCTTTGAATATCTCCCTGAATTGAAGGTAGTATGTTAGAAGCTTTGCTATTGTTGAAGGCATTGAGGAGTGTGGTAAGGAAATAGCTCTGAAATGATCCAACTAGTGACAATTTGTTTAGTGTCTGTATAAAATGAACTGGAAAGACTATATTCAGTGGATTCCAAGTTGCCTATCATTGCAAGAGCAACTTTTCTTCTTCCATAGAAAAATTAAATACTAGAAATTTTCCTGTACTGCATAGACACAGTTACATTGATTAATGTGATAAAAATGGTTTGCAGAAAATCTTTTGAATTCTAGGTTAGGTATTTCATGATGAAATTGACTTTGATAATTCTCTTAAAGATAATCATAATGTACTTTTCATTATACATAAACATTAATTATCCACAATCCGTGGATAATGTAAGTTAAGTGGTTCAAGCTAGTTTTGCATGACAAGTGGTATATACTTTATCTGCAAAGGCACTAAATGATTGTCAATAATAAATCAGATGGTGATACAGCTGAGGTGACAAAAATGTGGCAAGTCAGATGGTAATCAGAGAACCCTGGTGCTATGTTCAGGGTTCTCTGATCTTTTCTGTGATACTATTTCATAGCAAGATTTTTGTTGTTAAAATACTGCACTTATTAAGATATAGACCTCAGTTAATAACATCCGTTGAGACTGGAATTGCTGTTGCTAAGCATTGTGGTTTGTAAAGTGCAATGTCATATGATCATGTAGTTTAGCAACAGCAATTCCAACATACCTAATTGCCATTGTTAAGTGAATCATTGGCTCTCCCATTGACTTTGCTTGTTAGAAGCCAGCAAATAAGGTTGCAAATGGTGACTTTGGAATGCTGCATGTTGTAATTGTGAGCCTGGTAGTGAGTGCCCAAATCACTATCAAATGATTGTGGAGACATTCTAATGGCTGAATTTAACGGATTGAACAGTTACTGAATGAGTGGTGTAGTGTCCCAATCCTGGAAAATTATCTTGCTAAAGGAATCCAAGAATTCAGAACAAGTGCTGTGCTATATATTATATTGCAGTGATGGCTAACCTTTTTGCCATCGCGTGCCAAAAGCAGGGGGAGCATGGGAGGGGGGTCGCGTGCATGTGTGCCCACACTCATAATTCAATGTGCCTCGCCCACATGCATGCGCGCATGACCCCCATGTTCCCCATGCTTTTGGCATGTGATGGCACAGTGGGCACAGTTGGCCCGTTTTTCACCCTCCCCAGGTTCCAGAGGCTTTTTTGGAGCCTGGGGAGGGCAAAAACGGACTTCCTCACCTCCCCGGAGGCCCTTTGGATGCCGGAAACAGCCCGTTTGCTGACTTCCAGTGGGACCAGAACGCCCAAAAATCAGCTGGCCAGCGCACGTATGTGCACTGGAGCTGAGCTTGAGCAACGCTCGTGTGCCCACCAATATGGCTCCACGTGCCACCTGTGGCACGCGTGCCATAGGTTCGCCATCACGGTTATATTGTATATGAAACATAGACACTATATCAAGCTAGAAATGTCTGTATGGCATACACGCATTTTTATTTAAACAGACCATTTTGAAAAAAAATACAGCTCAAAAATTCTTATGAAATAGTTAAACCACATTTATGGTTCCCATCCCTTTCCTCCAGGCTGTTGTGGTAGTTTAAACCCTACAAGTCCTGCCATTACGTCTAGTGATCGTTCTCCTTTGCCATGATATTCCTTATGTAGTACTAAGTGTTCCCGGATACTGTGCAAAAGACAGAGATAAGTAGCAGCCTGAAAATGTAAGTCATGCTGGGCTTTGCAGAGTTTTTCACTGGTTACCTGGAGTCAGAGAAAAGACATAAGAAACGGTATTGTTTGAGTCTAATTTTCAATTCAGATAAAATACATTTTAGCTTACAGTAACTTGAGGCAATATGTGTGTGTCCAGTAAAGCTGCCAAAATGTTCACTTACATTTTTATTCATTTTTTCATATAATCCTATCCTAAGGAATAACACAATCTTACCTTGTACATAGACTTTCCCCATGTGCTCTGCATTATAATTTCATGTCTATGGAGATTCTCAGTCATCCAGGTCATGGTTGTCCCGAAGGTGCTTTTTCAAGAGGCAACTGGACTTTCTGGTTTTTCTTTGAAGACGTTTTTCAAAGACAACTTCAAAGAAAAACTAGAAAGTACAGCTGCCTCTTGAAAAAGCATCTTTGGGACATTATAATTTCATGTGACCAAGATGGGAGGTAAGGTTTTAAAAAAACAACCCTTCCAAATTGCCTGAAATAAGCCTTTCTCAGCAGCTTTTTCCACTCCTGCAGTGTAACGTTCCACATGTCAGAACTCCATAATTGCAACTCCTCTGCCTACAGCACAGTCCTCATTCCATTTGCTATGGCCCTCAGCTGCCATTCTGTATTGCAGGGGTCTCCAAACCAGGCAGCTTTCAGGCTGGGTGGGGGATTCTGGAAGCTGAAGTCCACAAGTCTTTAAAGTTGCCATATTTGGAGAGGCCGCTGTATTGCATTATGTTCAAACGATGCAATGCGTTTAATATCTTGAAATTCACATCGAACACAATGGGGCGGGGGAGCAGAAGAGAACGTATAGCAAGTCTTTTCATGAAATGGCTTGAAACCTCTTCACAAAAACTTGCTATCGTACGCTGTAATAATTTAGCTTTAACAGTATCATGAATCAGTACAAAATTATCATTTTAGTTAACATTTGCATAAAAGCCCAGGTGCCTAGTTTTAGGATCACCACAGCTTCGCCAGTCCCCAAAACAGAACTTCTAAAGCTTAGAGCAGTGTTTCTCAACCTTGGAAGCTTGAAGATGGGTGGACTTCAACTCCCAGAATCCCCCAGCCAGCGCTGCTGGCTGGGGGATTCTGGGAGTTGAAGTCCATCCATCTTCAAGCTACCAAGGTTGAGAAACACTGGCTTAGAGGAAAACGCCATATTTCAAGACAAAAGAAGCAAGCCGTTATTAACGCAAAGCTCGGGCAGATTTCGAGTATCAGCACCGGAATATACATACCCGATGGCAGCGGAAAGCTTCCTTCAAGTAACGATATGCTGCCTTGTTTCGGTAAGAGACATCGCTCCCTCCTAAAGCATAACGGAGCTCCTTCGATAAACCACGGAAAGTGCGAAGAGGCGACCCGAGAGACGCCATTTTGCTTCCGCTATTGGAATGTAATAGCCAGCCAATCAGAGAGCCCCTCTTTCACCCAACGCCCAATCAAAAAGGTCTGGCAGCTTACGAGACCAACGGGGCCTTTCCTGATCGTGTTATTTTCACCTTCAGTTTCGGAGCATCCTTCTAGAAGCGCAATATTTGAGCGGGACGCGAGCATCTCAGGCACGATAATCTTCTGTTCCTGATGTATTGTAACATAGTTGCTATCAGTCCAGGTATCGGAGCTTCATCTCATCCATTAGTCAGGAATAATGATATAATGGAAAGCATGAAATAATTAGAATATATCGACGGATTTCAGACCCGTTTGAAAGCAGCAGGAAGGCAAGCAAAGCTTTGAGCCTTTTCTTTCAAAGCAATTCCCTGCTTTATTTGGTCCTTGAAAGGGTTCGTGTCGGCCCATTAGAAGAGCTTTCCGCGACCCGCTACTCTGGAAGTCGTATTTTAGCTGAATCTGCGGGGGCCGTAAGTGGTTCCTAACATGCCTAAAAGCGAGATTTCAGCAAAAGATTAATATATACTATCTTGTTGATAGACATTTAATAGGGAGACTATTCCCTTAAAACGGCCAACGAAATACATTTTATACTGAGCTAATTATATTCAGTGCTCCAATTAGCCAAAATGTATTTTTTAAAAATATTTTTCTTGCTCTATTAATTAAAAGAAGGAAGTCTTCACAGAGCATTGTTTTTAGTGAGCCCCAGCATTAGTTACTGTCTGGGCTACGCTATGATTTGTACTTTTGCATTCTGAAGCAGGATTTTATTGTGGATCAGCAATTTCCTAGGAGGGGGAAAAAAAACGGACATAAGATCAAAACACACAAACCACCCCAGATGGGACTCGAACCCACAATCCCTGGCTTAGGAGGCCAATGCCTTATCCATTAGGCCACTGGGGCTACCACAAGCCAGCTTCTTCCAATCATCTAGTTAACATCACAATCTTTCGTATATTAGTCCCACCCCTTCCGATCATGTTAGATATTCATGGCTAGTAGCGCTCAATGCTTTAAACTTCCGAAATCAAGTCATAGATGTTTATGCAGTGCACGGTACACCGCAAGAGTAAGACCCATATGAAACTGGATTCAAAAGCTTTCTACCAAACCACCTGCATTACTTTGACAGTGGATATTAGAGCAAAACATTAACTTGTCAATTTTGTTCAGGTACCGATTTGCATATAAGTAGGAATAGATGTTCGAGGACGAATTGTAATAGAATGTTTATTTCTTTGTTTCATTTATAAATGGATTTTAGAAATGTCCTTATATTTGCTGCATTTGAACATTTCTCAGGTATCACCAACACTTTCCTAGGCATGGTGTAGCCTATCTTCTGTCCAGGTTTTCAACATTTGGCGTACTCTATATGTATTATTAGTTATTAATCCCACCTTTTTATATTTAATTGAATAGGCGAACATATCTAATATTCCAGCTATTTTCTCCATAATAACCCTGTGAGATGAGTTAGATTGAGAAAATGACTATAATCAATTTTTCCTCTTCCTGATATTTCCTCCCCCCAATTTATGTATTGGTCCATAATTCATATTATTAAATAGTAAAAGAGTAAAAAAACAATAAGAGCCAGAAGTTTAAATTCATTCTTCCAGTTAAGACTGCAAAAAGGTAGTGATACAAATTATGCTATATCCTATAGCCAAGCATTACTGTCCTTCAGTCACAGTGCACTAGTTATGGTTCTTTATAAATTTAATGAAAGATTAGTGCCTTCTCTAGCTTTCTTTCTCCTCTAATGCAGCATTTCCAGCTGGAAAAAACACCACCAATTGTTCTTCATAATGTATGGCAGAGCAGAACTGGGAGACCCTGAATATATATGTGCAAGATTTGAAACCTAAAGTTTAATTCTTAGTGAAATGTGTAAATCAACATAGAGGTTTTGGCACACAAATGCTAGGCCTTCAAAGGACTGAAATTTTCTTGTTCAAAAATCATCTGCCTGACAGAGTGGTGGGGCAGGGAATGACGTAAAGTGGCATGAGAGCAAACTGACAAAATTCCTCTTTCTCATCCCTACAGATGGTTTTTTTTTTTTTTCCAGGGGAATGTTGGTCTGGAAGATGCCATCTGAGAAATTGGTCTAACAGAATTGAGCTTGCAGACAACTGACAGATCTCCTACATCTTACTGACCTGTGAATCATTTAGCAACCAACATGAACAGAAAGCAGGATGCTCCCAGAGTGCAATGTATTGAAAAATATCTGGAAAAAGTAATAGAACAACTGTATTATTTTCACTTTATAATCAAATTATTTTCTAGGCTAAGGCAAGAACCTTTTCAGTGTTTCACAGCTTCTGCACGAGTTGGTTAAGAAGTTAACTGATAAGTGAAGAATGTCCAAGTGGTCAGCATGCAAATCTGACCAGAGGAATGCCAAGTCATGCTAAAGTGGTCAGCCTGCAAATTTTTGCCAGAGGAATGCCAGTCATGCTAAAGAGTGACATTCTTGTATCCTAAACTATCTTGACTGGGTGTCTGTGCGTGAAATATTTTAAAGCAACTGAAAATCTGTAATGCACTTATTTGCTATACAAGCAGCAATAAAATGCACTGGAATGTTACTTACTATCAGGCTAAATTGACCAAACTGCCAGTAACTTTCTGAGATTTTTTTATTTTATGGGACTGCTAAATTTTTGTTTAAAGACCAGATATTTTCTTCTTCCAGAAGACTAGTACCCGATGGAAATATGGAGCCCATGCATTGCCTAACTAGTACTTTCTAGTAAAGCAATAGGCAAGCAGATGTCTCTGTAAAGCCAAACATATGGTGTTGCTTACAGCCAAAGCCAAAATGGCCAGAGTGCAGTCTCTGCAATTGCAGAAGAGAGGGAATGATCACAGAAGCCTCAAGTGGTCAACAGGGAGTTGGGAAAAGATGAGAAACACTTTAACAGTGGAGCAGCTAAAGAGAACTTTGGGTTGCCTCTAGAGGAGGAGTTTCCAACCTTGGCAACTTTAAGACTCTGGAAGTTGAAGTCCACAAGTCTTAAAAGTTTCCAAGGTTGGAGACCCCTGTTCTAGAGTGGGCTGGAGATGAGATAGAGATGGCATTATGAAATCCTTCCTGTTAAAAATAGGTTACCTATTTGGTTAACAGCTATGGAGAGTCACAAGAGTGTGAACCAATTGGTAGATTGGCTGTATTTAAAATTATGGCTCTTCCAAAATAAATACTCATTTTAAAACATTGTGGACATTTTTGATAATATAAATTGGTAAAAATTTTAAGACCCCAGAATCTTTTATTCAGTTATTTAATATGCCCTCGGATCCTGACATTTAATAACTACAGTATCTTACTTTATAAACTCAAGCAGCATTGAATACATCAGATGATTTCTTAAATACAGGAGAATCCTATAAAACATTAGATATATAGGGAAATGTCAAGAGCCTTGATAGTACAGTGGTCTACGCACCCTGTTATTAACACAGCTGCCTGCAATTTACTGCTGGTTCGAATCTCTCCAAGGCTCAAGGTTGACTCAGCCTTCCATCCTTTCTAAGGTAGGTGAAATGAGGACCCAGTTTGTGGGGGCAATAAGCTGACTTTGTATAAAATATACAAAAGTATGAAGGCTATTGCTTAATGCATTGTAAGCCGCCCTGAGTCTCCGGAGAAAGGCGGCATATAAATCAAATTAAAAAAAAAAAGTTTATTAAAAATCTGTCATTTATGTTTTATCCTTCACACAGGATATCTCTAAACACTGTTTTTGGTTATACTGCCTCTCAGTCTAAGAGTAAATATTGCCTCTTCCAGTTATCTATTCCTACACTCTTAGCAAAGAATCTGTTCTTTTTTTCTTGAGAGGTGCTGTGAGAAACCTTTTTGGCTAACATTAGAAGCTACAAGACATAGATTTGTTTGTTCCCACTTACCTATTTTCCACTATATCCATGGTCAATTCATTAGTCATCATATAGGCTGTGGCTCATTTTTTTTTCTGTTGTTTTGGTTATTTTAGAAACAAATTATATTAATTTCTGCTGTAGAATTATTTAATTACATTTTTGAAAAATAAGCATGTCTGTTTTCTAGGTATATTGCACATTACCAAATTAAGATATGCAAAAGAGTTTATAATAACATATATCAACCACACAATGTGTATGTACATTCCTCTTTATTTAATACAGCACAGACACATGTCACATACAAAAGAAAAACACTCATGAAACTCCTGCCACATTTAAAGACAGGAACATCTACTCTCAGTTTGAACACTCAAACTGATCACTTCTGATCAAATATCTGCTAATTAACTATAGATGGATTCTCAGATGAAGTCTCCAGCCAAAAGAATAATCCACACCCTGTTTGAAAAAGTGAAATTGAGATAGTAATTCCTGGATTATAGAAGCAGGAAAACCACTGAAGAAAAATCACTCTTCTAGAAAACTCAACCCATGAGTTTTTGGAGCAAATATTTGCTATTCACCATTTGAGTTTTCAGGCCCATGATATGATAAAATGTACTAAGAGGAAAGCATTTGTTTCCCAGTTAATTTAACTGTATTTTGAAACTGGAAAGGACCTGAATATACATTCAGAAATGGCATAGGCTTTTTGTGGCAGCAGCTTCCCCTTTTCTGTACTCCAGTTTTACATGGAAAGTAAGCAGGCACCAGGTCTTCTGATAAAGAGCCTAACATACTTTAAAACAGATATTTATAAAAAGGAGAATTGAAAGGGTTATTTACAAAATTCATGGCTGGTGCAGTACATCTTTTAAGACACACTATGTTACAATCTTTCAGGTCCTGAGATTATTATGGAAAAAATAATTCAAATATTGTGTTTGGAATCATTGAAATAGGAGAAAAAGATCAATTTATTCTTTCAAATTTTTCAGGTTGGTAGAACACATTTCTGTAAAAACTAAGCCAAAAAGCAGTTGGCACAAGTAACTAAATCATGTGTATAATTATACAAGCCCTCTTATTGAGAGTAGCTACATATTTGTTGCATGGAAAACATGTCACAAGGAAGACAAATATTCTTCTCACATGGCTCAAACCTTCCACTAATTTTAGAAATACTCAGGTTCAGAGAGCCAAGCTATAAACAGAACAGAATAACTGCTTCAGATATGTTTCCCAGGCATGGATAATTATAGCACCAACAACTTGATAAAAATAGGTACTTTAAATAAGTCATTAGGAAATCTATAACCATGTTCCACAAGTATCAGTGGATCAATTTTGTCAATCATGATGTCTCCTTGTTTTGTATGGCTAACCAGGTATTTTAAAAGCTTTCTTGCTGAATATTGAGAAAGTATTCAGAAATATTGTTTCCATCAGGAGGAAAATACTAAAATAGAATTTCTAGATTTATTTAACTTGAAAGCTGCACTATTGTTAGAATCAATTTATGAAAAGCATGTTCTTTTCTAGAATGACAAGTTCAGCTCAATGTTTCATATTTATAATCACATCAATGTCCAACTGCAGAATTTATCTTACAGCTTAGAAAATCCTAACATATTTTTAATTTTAAATTGTGATACTTAGGTACTGAATATGATTAAAACATGTTTGATGACGGATGCAATATGTAACACTGCTCAGCAATTTAAATTAAATTTATTTTAAGTAAATGTACTTGACTGAAAATACATACAAAAAAGAGCACCAGTTTCCACAACATGATGTTTAATCCTCTGGATTCTTCAATCCACTGCTGAAAGGTGCCAAAGAAGAAAGATATTCAGATCACTTCTCTAAAGAAGGATCTATGTGAATGGAGATCTAATTAACTAATTGTCCTCTCTTTGTACAGGTGAAAACTTTTATCTACTTACAGATTTACTAATTTCAAATGGCAGATTGTTTTTTATCTACATTTTTGATTATAGTCAGTAAAAGGATATCACCATCAGATTTTAAAAACCTAGTCTCTCAGAACCCTATCATTGTAGTGAAAATGTTCCTGCTATTTAAAATTTAATTTCACTTTTACAAAAATATTTTCATAATACACACATTCAAAAAGCTTTGTCATGTTTCTTTGGGTAGATATTAACAACAGCCGGGGGGAAATATCTGTAATACTAAACATGGAATTTTGTAATAAGCAAATTTACTGACTACTAAAATCAAACTAAAGCATTACAGAGAAAGGCAGTGCTGAAAATAAAATGCTACTGTACTAAAGACCAACCATCTCTAAGGTCTGAGAGCCTTACCTACAATTTTTACTTTTAAATTAGCTGACTTTTCTCAACTATTCCAATATGTGACGGGACAATCAAATATTTTCCCTTTTACCACACCACATTAAAATGTCTAATGTATTATAAAAGGTAAAATTTTATAACACAAAGTGTACATTACTTATATTGTTTCAGGGGCACTGCAAAGATTAAAGAATTATAATTGGGATACAAAGCTCCAGAAATGTGTTTGTTACATAGAAGAAAGATATTTCATTGAACAAAAATTGCTCCAGATGAAACTGATGAGAATCCTAGTTTTCTGACATGGCTGAACAAAATATAATTCAATTAGAAGAAACAATTGGTAATTATGTAAATATAGAGATGGATTCAGATTTAGATATCTGCAAGAGGGCTGGCAGAAGATTCTTCTAGGTCAGGGGTGTCAAACTTTCAACGACACATTGTTGTCACATGACATATTGCAATCTTCCCCCCTTCGCTAAACCGGGGGTGGGAGTGGCCACCATGGGACGCATCTGGCCCATGGGCCACAAGTTTGACACCCCTGTTCTAGGTCATCAGGTATCCCTTCCTCAGCTCTCCATATTACAGTTTAACCTGATCTATATTATTTCTGGTATCTGAAATGATTGTTATGGAGGCATTCACTTCTGCCAGTCATTTTCCAGGTGCTTAAGCCTAGATCAAGTTCATATCTAAATGGATTATTCTAGGTGATTTCTTCAAGTGTTAACACAAGTTTCTCCAACTTCTAAAGATTGTTAAAAGGTATATAAAAAAACCCTAAGCAATAGTGTCCTGAGAAATACATTCAGAAAATAATTCTTAAAAATAGGAACAAATGGTTCAAAGTTGTAAAAACTCAATTTTGAAAACCAAATATCTAGTTTACAATAAACTTCAGCATGACAACTGATCCCTTTCTTCCTAGTAAGAATTTCCTTGCTATAAGGAAGTTTCTTTAGACTCTTGCAGGAAATTCAACCTTCTCTCTTATCTGTCACTGCAATTAGAAACATGTTAACTAATTACATAAAATACTTTATATTCCTTAATCATACCAAATTACTTTATCTGAACAAAAGATAGTTCTTTAATTTTTAGCAGTATTCAATGTTATTCGAGTATTCAACCATCCATTCAGAATTTATTTGAAATAGAATGCAACTTATATTTGTTTTAAAGATCAGTAAAACCTTAGTAATAATATACGGTAGTTTTAAAAAGTTAAAAGTTTTACAAATACAATAAAAAAATAGAATGTATGATTACTTATTTTGATTGGTGGGTTGCATTCTTACATTTGTCACAGATCTTGGCAACAGATTTGGTAAAAAAACAGTGAAATCTTGCTGTGATTTTTTTTGTTTAAAAGTATACTGCTATTCTTCAAATTAGCCAATTTGTTACTTAAAGCAAAATTTTGTTTTATAATATATCTAAAGATATGTATCTGAGCAATGCAAAGAGGCTCTCACTGTATTTGGTGCATGGAAAACTAAAATTTTAATTTAGAAGATGAAATCACTGTCACCATCAACAGGCAGCTTCTTAGGGTGAAGCAATAGGCTTCTTAGGCATCAGAGGCCATATGAAAATATTTTTATTGCAGAAATATAAAATATTTTATTGTCTACTAGTATGTAACCATTCAAATATAAATTATTTATAACATTTTTAATGTGAAGAAATATTCTGCTCTTTCTCTGTCACAGGGAAAAATGTCAAATTTTAGAATGGCTGGTTTAACATTATGATTATTAGACTGGTATTTTAAATTACAATCTGAAACTCCAGTGGAAATGGCTTAGTGTACTACAAACCACTTCATTATAGTTGCTCAAATACACTGTTTATAAATTGTGCCAAAGTTCATTTTCAGAAGTAAACATTAATACTACAAAAAACAGATTCAACATAAGGAAAATAGTGCTGTGTGCAAAGAACAAGCACGTAAGAATGACAGTTATGCAACAGCAGTTATAACATTACATATACTGAACACTAATTACAGAAGGGTTATTTTAACAACATAAAGTCATTTGGACAGGATCAAGGACTTTCCAAATATCTCCAAACACTTTAGGACCTCTGAATATACTTTATGGGGATAAGAGGGAACAAAAAGAAAAGGCACTTAACCAAAAGCCTGAATCAAGTAAGTTGGAGGAGTAACTCCATTTAGAGATAGAACTAAAGTATATATATAAAAAAATCTAAAGGTCATACAATTATAATTGCATAAACATTTTATGATATCTATTTATTACTCTAATCTTGGTGTTAAGTTTTTGGAAAATAAAAAGTGTTCTGTGACCTCCAACATAACAAGTTATGTAAATAGTTAGGTAAAAAAACTTTCCAAAATTTAACATGATTTTTTTCCTGCACTACTATTCTGAAAAGTTCAAAAATAACAGTAATAATTATCATTTGTCAACATTCCAAAAAACTAACATCCTAATTTTTTTTCTGGGCAAACAGTTCTAAAAATCACTGTGTAAACTAGATTTAAATGTATTTATAAATATAATCAAAAATATTTTAATGAATGTAGCAGCAAACATAGTAAATAACTGAGTCCTAACAAACTATCATCTGATTATGATTCAATGTCATAATGGTAGCTTGGGATGGTAGTTTGGGATTTGAGAATTATTTTATTATCAACTGCTTTGGATCAAATGGAGAGGCTAAATGGAGGTTAGATTAGTCAGCTAAGAGTTTGAAGAAGTATACCATGATTACCTGCCTCATTCATAGCCTACTGAATAAATTAAACCCTATTTTCATGGAAACAGATGTCAAACCCACAGCACCCACACCTGAGATTTTGACTCAACATTCCCATCTGTCTTGCTAGAGACAAGACAATATGAAAGGCTGAAAAAGGAATGATTTTAAGCCATCAAATATTATCTTGGGGATGAAAGTATGCATTGTTAAGACAGTTCTTTGTTCATTGTTTATATCATTTCTCCATACTTCATAAAGATCCAAGATAACCTACGGAATTGCTAACTGTCCCCATTGGACAATAAAGACATAATTTAAATGATTCTGAAATTCAAAACCTGTATGTCAAAATTATTGCTTATATTTGAGGCTCAGTGTAAGATCACTATTTTAGCCCTAACCCTCAAAACAATTTAAATTCAGAAACGAAAACTTTACCTTTTATTGCTTGTGAATACTGAACAGATTTAACATAAGAGCTATTTAACTCTCCAAATACATTTTAAGACAAACTAGGCTGTTAAAAACATCTAAATTAAAAATTGCTGTGCAGGAAGTATATATTTCTTGCATTGTAATAGTGCTGATATTATATCTGCTCTTTTCAGTTCTGATTATCTTCTTTATGTCCTTATGTCCATTGTAGAGAAACTCATGGAGTTATCACTTAGATTTATTCTGATCATAAAAATCTTATTTTATTGAGATCTCAGGAGCAATTGTCTTCTATCACTTCTTTCACGGCATTATGTCTCCAGATACTCCAGTTTGCTATTAAGCTGAAAAGCTGAACACTCTTCATATGTTTAGCAAAACAAAGAGGTCCCAATTGCATGCCATGTAATAAGAATCATAAACTCAAATCAATTAATGTGCTTTCATTAAATTCTACATAAGAAATATTGAAGAGCAATAAGAAAGCCACTTGTGTTATTTGGTTTTATGAGAACATTTTCACTCTTTTAACATAAACATAAACCGTTTTCTGCCACCAAATATTTTGCTTTGAATTTATGGAAAAACATAATCAGAAACATATAACTCCTACTAATTCTATTCTGTACTGTATTATTTCTAAGGGGCAAATGTGTGGAATTGAAAGGTAAATCTATATTTTAAAATGTTTTACCTTTCACACTTTCTATCATTCTGTATAAGAGATAACTAAATCTAAAAGTTACTAACTACTTAATATTTAGTTTTCATAATGTAATATGGAATGTCAGGCTCTTATTATGCCTCTTGTTTTAAGAGAATTTCATTTTTATGATATTTTAAAACCATTGTTTCAAATATAATTTTTTAAATTTTAAATCTTTTCTTCCAAATGTATTTTTTTTATTTATATGTGCATGTGTGTGTACATGTTTAAATACACAGATCTGAAGTTGCCAAAAGGAAACAACTTAGATAACAGTAAGTCTCAGTAAGAACTGTATATTTGGCTATTTGTAGGATATGCTCATGGAGAACATTTTGCTTACCTTTGAAATGAAGGTAAATCAATCAAGAGAATAAAATTAACCAATTAATATTGAAGGGAGAAGAAAGAAAAGCTTTGCAGATGCAAAAAACATTCTGAACTTTGTAGTTTCTTCTACCAAACTATCAGTTATCTTTTTAAAAAGCCCTTTGTTTACCTTGTATCAAGATTGATTTGACTCTATTTTTAATCCATATTTTGTGCAAGTTTGTAAAAAAATTAATAGGGTCAACCCAACATTCAGTTACTATGTTTATATTATATATTATTTAAATATACACGTTTTACAAATATGATAAGTAGTAATCTGAATCAGTAAGATTAGCTACCTGGCTTTGTAAGATGAAATAACATATATTTGTAAACTTGGTAACTAAATACATGTCTGTCACAAAACAGCAGAAGAGTTATCTTGGCCACCAAACAGTATAACTATATGCACATAAGAAATAGAATTCTATAAGAAGCTATAGATATTACTGAGTTTCATACTGTAGAAATTAATGCTGCTCAATAGATACAGCTAGTTGTCTTTTTTAAATGTGGTTTCCCTTTAGAGCAGCACAAGGGATTGCAGTTGGAATTAAATAAGCCTCCAGCAAAACATGCTGGCATATGTACATATTTCTTCTGGATGATGACCATATCGCTAGGAATATTTAAAAAATCAACTCTTACTAAAAAATAAAATATCAGATTTAAATTATAGAAAAGGCTTTAGTTTGGGGATTAAACTATGATTTTTAGATCTGACCTCCACTGAAACGTTTACAACATAATGTGACATTGTTTTGACTTTTTCTCCCAGAATTACATCCTGAAATACATTTCTTCTGCATTAATTAATGAGTGCAATACAAAGCAGTTCCTACATTTCTTTCCTAGACTCTTAACATAATGGTTTCAAAATCAAAGCCAGCCTACAAGTTGTATGTTCAAGCAACAACAAATCAAGTATCTCCCATCTTAGCAGATTTAAAGAATACTGGGAATAAGAATGTTAAAGCCAAAACAGAAGGCACCTCAACTATACTCTTTGGAGAGAGCTTTGAACAGTTCTGATAAAAGGTCTTACTTAAAAGCTGTAAGAAATCAATACAGCACATATCTTCTCAAAGCTAATAGAAGAGGAAGAATCCAAAACTATCTTCACAAAGGAGAGAAACAGAATATTTCTACATTCTATCAATATATGAAAAATAAGGCAACTCTGAAATGGTTCAGCAAATCTAAAAGTGATAAAATAAACGTTCCATCAAAGGTATTGAAAACAAAGCTATGCTATGATAAAGCCAATTCATGCTAATCTTATATCTGAAATTTTGATACTAAAAGGAAGATTTTAAGTTCCACTGAAATGTGATTACAAAACACTCACCATTTTTTAAATCTTTATCTGAAATAGAAAAATCTCTGTCCTGATCAGTTACAGTATCTAGGGAAAATATTACCCAAAGCAAATTTTGTATAATCTTCAGGCTCTTCAAAGAGCAAACAAGCAGCCTTGATTTTGGGTAGAGAAAATGCAGACTTCCTTTTATGCTGATATAAAACACTTTTTCTCCTCTATACTTCCACCTTATTCAAACTTGCAGAGAATGTTTCTAACTGCTATAGCTTGAAGACTTTCCTGAAGCCTCCACATGGCTGAACAGGATGGATGGCCTTACTTGCATGGTGGATACAGATGTCTACTTTAGTTTCCTTTTATAGTTCCTTTATCAGACATCAGCCTGCAAAAAGGTTTGGGTTGCTGTAGGTTTGACAACTGAACCTGTTTGGCCAACCCTTTCTGAGATAATTGGGATAAAAGGCTTTGAGAACTGTCCTAAAAACAAAATCAAACTATGAATTATTTTATAAGAACACTTTCCTCCTTTTTCTTCTCTCTTTGATCAAGTATTTTTGTTTTTGTCCTCACCACAGTGCTTAGGATCAGAATATGTAAACATTGACAGAAACAGCAGCTCTGTGTCCATGTAAGCACTTTCCCAACTGGTCATTCTCCATCAGCAAAGTAGAACCACGTTTACTCCCTTATTTAGCAGGACATCACTGGGTTTTCCTCTGTAACTTAGCATCCACTTTGCTTTGGCCATCTAGAATTGAGGATGAAAAAGAGAAAGCAATTCATAAAAGAGAAATGATGATTTATTAATTTTTCTATCACTGCAATCATATGATCCTTGGTGGTACACAAAATATAGAAAATCAATATCCTTGGTTAAAAAAAGTCTGAAGTATAAACAAGCAAACACATAGATAGCCACAATCAATCAACAGTCAAGCTAAATTGAAGAAACATTTAAAAGATCCCATGATAGTATCATCTTAATAGTTAATTTAATTTACTTTTGAATACTAAAGTGAATCTAGCTTTCATGGGAAGCCTATTTCATAATATGGAGGTCATGAAAGAGAAACAACTTCTAGCTGCAATCCCCGCAACTTTATAAAAATAAAGAATCGCAAGCAATTTTTCCCAGAATGTACATATTATGTAGGCCAACTCTATCTGGAGGAAGTGTTTATTGAGGTAACTTGATGCCAAGCCAAGTTAAGCTTTATAGATAAAAAAGCTTAAATTTTTTATTAATTAAATTAAATTGTACCTAGAAAGTTACAGGAAATTAAACCAGGGACCACAGCACAGGTACAATGTGTTGCTGACTTCCACTGCCAGTTAACAGGCAGATTGCTGCCTTTTTCAAAGTGATTTTTAGAGGCAGTCTCATGTAAAGTGCTTGTCTGTTCTATAAAGTAGATCAGGCTCAAACATTAATGTCAAGCAAGAATTACTCTTACTGTAACAGATGCAGTAAAAAAAAAATCTTGCAAATCTGATCTGCTTCCTCCTCCCCTCTAGCTCTGTGAGAACTAGAGAGGATTTTTTTCTCACATTACTTTCTTCACCTGAGCTCAAGACCCTTTTATCTGATCATTGCCTTCCTAGTATCTCTTCCTCCTGACCTTCGAGGCATTTAGCACACTGCAGTCCCTGTTTCTCACCCATGAATCCAAGAGAACCCCTGAGTCACAGACTTGCTCTTCCTCAAAGCCAGTGTTATGTCTCCAAGAAACAGCCATGTGGGTGAAAGTCTTGATTAAAAAAATAGCAACTATTTCTTGGTTGAGTTCAAACACCTAGAAAAGGCTTCAATCATACCGTATTGCTAACACAGCCCAGGATGGTGATGTATAATTGGGTATAATCATCTCCCAGCACTTTCAAGTAGGCATTAAAGAACAGAGAGAACTGAACCCTGGAGCATGTAAAATGGGATAAAAATAAATAAATAGGTATGGAAGTATGAGTTTTATATTTGTTAATTAATATTATTTTAGGGCTGTGTTTGGAAACTTTGTGGACAATAGGATTGGAAAAGTCATTGCTTTTTGGACTTGCCTATGATTAAAATGAGGGATTGTGGGATGAAGAGATTTTATATGTTAATTAAGCGGAGGTGAAGTGATATTGAAACCATTTATACTTGTCTTGATTCTTTTTCTTTTATCTGTCTTTTCTTTTTTGCCTACTCAGCATGGTCATAACAACCTTCCTTAAGAATGAATTTAAAATTAGTATACACAAAAATCAAAGTATTCAACACTTACAAAAAGACTTGTTCATGCTAGGCTATAATGTATGGGTTTTTAAAAAACTGACTAGTCATTGTCACTGTATACTATGGTTTGGGGTTTACTTTATAAGTGAGTTAGACCACTATGATTTGTTTCACAAATCAGGGTAACAACAAACCATGATTTAGTGCAATATATGACCCCCCAACCCATATAAATCACCCTAGCATCTGACTGCAGAAGCAGTACCATTAAATTCAATAGTCTTGAACTTTGATCCTTTTTAATCATGTTTCAACAGAATGTTTTTTCTTAGAACTGATCAGGCAATTACCAAAGGCTACACCGTATTTCATATTCTCTCCCAGTAATGACAAGAAGGATGAGATACACCTGAATGGGGGGAAAATTAAGGCTTAACCCAAGTGGAGAATTATGTCTGTAACAAAATTGTTGAATAGTACTTTCTCCCATGCTTTGGGCATATTTCATGGAAAACATGTTAGAATTGGAAGGGTTTATTCGAGTAACTGAATCCAATCTCCTGTTCAAGTCAAATTAGAGCATCTCTAAGAGATTCACATTGAGTAAAGGGAATCCCGCCATGGTTCTGAGAAAGTTGTTGCATTGTGAAAACTGGTCTTAAGAAATTTTTATCACTGTAGAAACTATACTGTGAGACAGCTGGTTTCTCTTTAAAAAAGTGAAAAAATATATTTTCTTACCTGAATAAGCTTGCTGTAAATGAGCAGGCAGAGATGTATGAGACAGTGCTGCTGAATGCTGAGCTCCTGACTGTAAACCCTTCAATAAATCTGACATGGTACACAAAAGGAAAAAAAACAACAACCCAGATATAATCATAAAATTAACATGGTCATAGTTTTTTGTGCCTCTCTGTAGACAGCAAGTTTAGTTATTTAATGGTGCAGTACTAAAGTTTGGGATTTAAAAATTCAAGTGGATGACTTTAAGCAATTACTATCTTGCCAGTCCAAAACTACAAGATTGGTCACTTTGATGATGTCAATTGAATTGAACAAAAATACAAGTTCTTTAGAGTCAAAATATATGTACAAGAAGCAAAATAAGGAGCAATAGCATCACATCAGCGAGATGCAGATTGTAGAAAAGATTATGAATTATTTCAAATGTACAAGTTAAGCTTAGATAATTAGAGAGGATAGGTATACTAGCAAAATATGATCTGAAGAATTTACAAGTAAAAATAAGTTTTTACTTATTTAATTTATAGGCCGCCTATTTCACTGTTACAGTGACTCTTGTCAGCTTACAATATAATAAAAAGTTAAAAAAGATTTCAAAATGATTAAAATTAAGAGGATTAAAGAAGAATCTAAAACTAAGAGGATGGGCAACATGGGGGTAGGGATCTTCTTTATATCCCATCAGCCACTCCCAATGTAGTATGCCTCTATCAGGGACTCAGGACAGCTGGTAGCGCCTGGTTTTAAGGCTCTTCCAGAAGGCCAGGAGTATGGGAGTGGATTTCATCTCCAGCGGTGTAGTGTTCACCTACTTCACACCTAATGCACAGTATAAAACTAAACACTGAGAAGGAAACACACACAAACAGAAAAGTGGATAAAATTTAATGAATGAATGAATGCCTTCAAACTATAGATTTGTTTGAAAGCAGATGTTTACTAAAAACAAGAATCAATCAAATAGTCCTGGACCAATAAAGGTTGTCTTCTTCCCTACTGCAATGATCTGCAACTAGAAACTAGTATGCTTCAGCAGTAATTCAAGCAGTTGTTAGAAAAGAAATTGGTGATGTCGAGGTAAATAGAAAACAACTATGGATAAGATGGATAGATAGAATCAAAGAAATTACAGAATGAATTTGGAAGAACTACAAGTTATTAAACAGTAGTCACAATAGAGAGCATTTATCCATATAGTCACAAATAGCTGAAACTGACTTGGTGGTACCTAATTATAGGCTTGCTCCAAAGATAAATTGCCTGTTAGCACAAAGGTTGAATATGGACTTTGTTGTCTTCAAAAGAGTGGCCTGTGTCTTTTAAATGCAGATGGACTGCTGAATCTAGTCCTGATGTGTTGTGCATGGCACAACATAGGAGAACAAAACACATCAAGACTAGATTCAGCAGTCCATCTGCATTTAAAAGACACAGGCCACTCTTTTGAAGACAACAAAGTCCATATTTTGAACAGAGTGGATCGCTGGTTTGAAAGAGGGATTATGTCAAAATTGAACAGCCCTCTCTCAACAGAGGGGGAGGGATACGACATCATCTCTCTCCAATCTCACACAGTCCTTTCAATAATTCCAAGAAGCCTCCACACCCATTTGCATCACTCAGGTGACCCTGATGATTCATAAACCTCCAGGTGACCTTAAAGACCTGCTAAAAGAATGCAAATGACCAGCTGTCTTCAAGCAGTATAAATCCTTCCATTCCCTGCCATCCAGCTTCAGAGCTGAAGCTGAACGTCGTCAAAGAAAAACCAAACAATCCAGTTGACGCTTGAAAAAGCACTTTTGGGATACTCATAGTCATGCACTTGTGCAGTCAACCCAATCATCTAGTCAAGACATCTAATACCTTCTAACAGCCACATCATAACTGAGACAATTAAGCCACCAAGAGAATGAGAAATAATTATAGGCATAAACAACAAACTAATTTCCCAACAAATGCAGAAAATTCAAAGAATTTGCCATTGATAAAGAAGAATTAACTGAAAAATAGTAAAAAAAAAAAAAAAAAACCAACAATAACAACAGTTTTACTTACTCTGAGTTATACTATGGTGGAAAGCTGCTGAGGTAGATCCCGAGGTGGCTGTCACTCCAGCCGTGTCTGTTCCAAAGCTAAGAAGCTCCAATGGAAACTGAAAAGGCATAGTCACTGGAACAAGACTCCCCAGCATCCCAAAAGGAGTCAATGGAGTAGATGTCACATTCTGACTGGTTACAGACAATGGTGATGCCATGAGAGTCAAAGGTGAAGCATTTGCCAGTAATGATGCACCTGTTGTTGACTACATAGATAGATGTTATTTTAAAAATGTTTTAAAGGTTTTTGGAAGCAACTCAAAGCATACTAAAGGTATTTAAGTATTATTTTCTCTCACATTCATTAGAAACAATATTTTATAGGAAAGCTTATTCATTTCTTACTTAATTCATGATATAATTTAAGTGATAGCAAATGTTGGTCGGCTCTTTTTTCTTGCGATAAATATAACTGACAGTGCAAATGTAAAAAGTAAGTTTGGTGAGGTGGCAACCACTGGTTCCCTAGCTAGACAGAAATATTACATAATCATAGTTCAGCTGCCACTTAAGGCCATCAAAACCACAGCAAGCATTGCTTTGGAAAATTGGAAGAAAAAGCTCTGGAACACAGGCTTATAAAATGTTGGCTTCTTTGCTCCACGTAGCATAAATCTGTAAAAAAAAGTCTTTATTCTTCTCCATAATAAAGATTACACGTGCTTTTTTGTGAGAGTTATATACCAGGTAAGGCTTATTACTGAATAAGGGACTGTTTCTGGAAAGTTACAATTACCACCATTTCATGGTATAAAGTCTAACTCTTTTTACTTCTATCACTGAAAGCTAGTCTGGTGTAGTGGTTAAGGCAACAGGCTAGAAATTGGGAGACCATAAATTCTAGTCATCAGACCATCACATACCATGTTAAATACCATGTCATTCATATGTGTTGTGGCAGAAAGCAGCTGAAAGAAGGCCATTATCTCCATGGAGACTATGAAATCCTGAGTAGAACTGGAGCCAACTTTCAAGGCACTGGAACTGAAATCACCCAGCAAAGTAAGTCTGGAAAATTCCAGTACCAACTACCTTGCAGTCATAGCTGCTGTGATATCTAAACGTGGCCTGAACAATATACCTATCTGTACCTAACAAGATTTCTGATCTACCAAAAATGGATGTGAACATATTGCAATTTGGCCTGGCATTAATTAGCAATAGTTGGATAACAAGGTCACTAGCAGTGCTGTATTCAGAACCCAGGAAGGTGACAGAGGTACTTGGAGTGGGACCAAACTGCCCTTCCTTTAACAGTTAGTGCCCTCTCTCCTGTAAAGTAGCTGATTCCTGTGAAAATTACTTCCTCTGCCTATAAAACCCCCTGATGTTTTATTGCCTCCACCAACATTTTAAAGAAGTATGTGCAAACTTACTTATGTAATAGACTGAGTGATAAAAACAGTTGTGAACAGATGTTGACAATCATGGTTGGTAGTTAAGATGGTAGGGTTGTGTGTTTCTGACAATCCCACTAAGTAAGTTAGACAGTAGGGATGCCAGATTATAGGTTAGATTATAGTGCCTATAGATTTAGGATTTTACTGCTGTGTAAGTATTTTATTTTCATACGTAAATAAATAAAACATGTTATATGTAGCTTGTATTATTTTCATGTAGTTTTGATTATTGATACTTTTTTAAAATTAATTTTTTACTGTGGTTGGATTGTGGCCTGCTTAGAAGCATGTTATAAATCTTTCTCATTTTGTTGTTTGTTTAGTTCCAAAGGTAGAAGCCCAACCACACATAAAAAAGGGTCATATGGAATTAAAATCCCATTCTTGCTCCTCCACCCCACATATACTCACCAACTATAATAAACAATGATCCTTAATCTATTAGCTTTCATCTGAACCTTTCTCCCACAATACTCTGCTCTCACTGTGGTTATGAGCTAAAGTCTTCTCCCTTTGGGCTCTTACCCTAGGAGCAGCTTTCCAAAGGAGGACTGTTGAAAGCTACACTTATTTATTTTTCACACTTATATAACCACCCATCTCATAATCAATGACTCTGGGAAGTGTACAACAAAGTCAAAAACATATATACAAATTACCGGTAATAATATTATTAACATTAAAAACTTTAAAATTATAGAAAGCACAAAACTAAAACAGAATTTAAAAAACATGTGTTAATTACACAGGAGTCATCTCAGTATTTCTCCAGTCTCCTGAGGCCTGCTGATCCAATCTGGTCTTGAGGAACCTCCAGAAAGTTAAAAGGGTTGAGGTCACTTTGGTGTATCAGTTCTCCCACAACAGCAGCCAACAGAGCACCTAGTAGCTTAATCTTCCCCTTTGCTCAGCTGATGAGCAATCCTAACTTTTTCTATCAGGAAAAATAGCTCTCTACATGAAGTCCACAGTTACTGGTTTTTGAACTCAGCAACAATTTGGTACGTCTGAAGAAAGCATATTTTTACCAAAATTAAACTGTGAGGGGTGTACAATTTGATTTGCATGAAAAAGGTAAGTCATGCATATTAATCTGCCTTTCATTGTCAAAATGTATCTTCAGGATTCATTCAAGATCCTCAAGATGGCGCCACTGATGGCAGCCTTGGTGAAATGCTCTCTTGTGTTTTCGATATTCTCATTTTTCAAAAATGAGTTTCTGAACATCAGACAACTTTCTAAGAATATTCTTCCTCTGGTTTCTCCCGTCTCTGCAAACGCAGAAAGAAGTTATGTGGATATTATGATCAGAGAAGCAACAGTTCTCTTCCATGGCTGGAGAATATAAAGGAACTGAAAAAGAGGAAGCATGCTGGTGTGAGACTGAGGAGGGGGGCTTAGGATTCCACTCCCATTGCTTCATCTAACAAATCTACATTCAATAATGAATGTAGGTTTGTCAATGGATGAACTTCTCCCTCTAAATAGGAACCCTAATTTTTCTAATTTAGCCATTTTCTGCTTTACAGAAACTTGGCTCAGTGAGACTATCAAGAACAGAACAGAACAGAACAGAACAGAACAAAACAAAACAGTTTATTCGCCAAGTATGATTAGACACACAAGGAATTCATCTCCAGTGCAAAAGTTCTCTGTGTACATGCAAAGCAACAGAGTAATAATAATCATAATAATAATACCAGTAAGAGGTAGTAGTAAAGAAAACGGGAAGGATAATAATACTACTACTACAGCCATACAACATGGGTATATATCCTTAGACAAAAGACAGTGCTGTGGGAATTAGGTGTTCAGCAGAGGGAAATAAGGGGAAAAACTGTCCCTGTGTCTAGTTGTTTTGGTATGCAATGCGTCCCGAGGAGTGGAGTTGAAACAGTTTATGTCCAGGATGTGAGGGAAGGAGCTGAAACACAAGGTTTTAGATTCAAAGGGCAGATTAGGTTACAGAAACATCCAGTAAAAAAGGAGGGGGAATCTGCTTCTATGCTAATATCTGCTGATGTAATAATGTCACAGTACTAAAGAAATTTTGCAGTGTGGATATAGAGACACTATTCATCAATTGTAAACCTTTTTATGCTCCACGTGAGTTTTCTTCATTCATCTTGATTGGGGTTTAAATGACTATAGGCTGGTTGCTCTGACATCTGTAGTTATGAAGACCTATGAGAGGTTAGCACTAACCTACCTGAAAGTCATCACGGATCCACTGTTAGACCCTTTGCAATTTGCCTACTGAGCAAATACAGTATATCTGCAGATGATGGAACTGCACTACAATATGGCACTACACTACATCTTGATCTTCTCGCTTTATACCAATGACTGCATTTCTAGGGATTCCTCTGTTAAAATACTGAAATTTGCAGATGATACAACAATCACTCAGCTCATTTGAGACAATGATGGGTCTGCATATAGATGGGAATGGGCCCTGTGGTGAAGCTAGAACAATCTGGAGTTGAACATGCTTAAAACTGTAGAGATGAGAATGGATTTTAGGAGTAGCCCTTCTATTCTACCACCTCTTACTACAGGGGTCTCCAACCTTTTTGGTTCTGCAACCAGCTTTGACAGCAGGGTAGAATGGTTTCATGCACACATCTAAATCCCATGCATGTGCAAATGAAGCTTTGCATGCTCGCCCGCCACTTTGGCGGCCCAATTCCCAACTAGCCTGGTAGCAGGCCACAGCCCAGGGGTTGGGGACCCCTGTCTTACTATATTCAACACCACAATATCAGCAGAGAGTCCTTCAAGTTTTGGGGTCCTATAATCTCCCAGGATGTGAAATGGACACTTAACACTAGAACCACCATTAGAAAGGCACAACAAAGGATCAACCCAGGAAGTTCAGACTGCCCCAGAAGCTGTTGATATAGTTTTGCAGAGGGATTATTGAATCTATTATATGTATTTTGATAACTGTCCAGTTTGGTACAGCAACCAAACAGGACAGGTACAGATTCCAAATGATACTTAGGACTACAGAAAGAACAATTGCAACCAGACTGCCTTCCATAGAAGATCTGTATAATCAGCAGGTCAGGAGGAGGGCTGAGAATTATCTACAGACCACTCACATCTTGGACATAAATTGTTTGAACTCCTCCCCTCAAGGACACTGCAATAGGGCATTGCATACCAAGACAACTAGACACGAAGACAGTTTTTTCCCTTGTGCCATCACTTCTGTTCTATTCTCACCATTTTGAGAATAAATAGAATAGAATAGAATGGAATAGAATAAATAGAATAAAATGTGAATTTTACAGTGGCCTTCAGATTGGTTAATGAGCCACTAATCTTCAAGAAATTATGAACCACATTTCTCATAGGGTTTTTTTTTGGGGGGGAGCGGCTTTAATTCTGCATCTAGAAGATTTATTGATTTACTTGAAGGATCCTGCTCTCTACCCTGATCAAGTGCATCGAGGTCTTGGACTCATAAATGCAGTCCCTCTGCTAAGCTAGAAAAATGCACCTTTGAATTTCTAATGTTGGACTATTTTATCATGTAAGCTAGAATATTTCTTACCTTATGACCCTCCAATCTCCATTCTCCACCCAGAAAACGTCAGTGCCCCTTCCTTGATATCTAGCTAGTCCTAAGTCTCAGACTCCTAAGGGCAGAACAGAAAGTCTTTCCTTGACTGATCAAATTCAGCAAAAACAGGGTTCATAAGTGCAGGGTTAGATAGACAACCTTCAGGGAACCCCTTGTTCTCCGCTTTTTGGGGGCATGGGAGAACTGTAACCAAAGTCACATGAGAAATTCCACAGCTAAGAGTAGATTAGAATTTAAGTGCTCAGTGACTGCCAACACTTTAACCACAAAGCTCTTCTTTGGGTCAACACATGCCTTCTGTCCTCCCATGGGCTGGAAGAGAGTTATGAAATATCCCCTTTGACTGTGAGAAGTAGAAAGAAAACTTAGCAAATCTTGGATAAACAAAGAGAAGGTGTTTTGATTCCTATATAGATTCAATCTAGTCTGCAATGGAAAAGCTACTTTAGCCAAGTTATGAGTCTTTTTTCAAGAAACAAGACATGAATAATCAGTTACTATGTGATGAACTGAGATGTCCAGCTGAATGAATGGGGGGGGGGGAATGCAAGCATTTAAAAGAGGGAATCTTGACAGTTGCAACTAAAGAAGAAATGGAAATTCTACTTCCCTTTTAGCTAAACTCATAGGATAGAAGGAGCGACTGGAAATCTCGTATACTTCAAGTGTTAAAGAAACAGAAGATGGGCACAATACCTTCCAGCCATTCATGATCAAGAAAGGGTTTCACTTCGGGGGAATAGGAAGAAGAAAATAGAGAGGATCTGTCATAAGGGCTGAAAAAGAGAGAGAGCTACAAATAAAAATATTTCACCTATGTCCAAATATCCATGAACTCAGAAGGCAGGAGGAAAAAGTCTAGCGTTTAAATTCTAGAGTACACACCTATATAAAGGCTTTGATTTGTTGTATACGCTAACATATTTAATTCTTATCTACAATATTCTACTTTAACTGTCATACCTGAGAGTCTTCTGCCAAGTTTAGTCGATTGCTAAAGGGTTAAGTGTCTGGAGACCTGACATTTATTGCTCTGTCCTGATATAAAGCTTGACTGCAATTATGCTAAATATTGTTATTCAACAAAGGTGCTTACTTTAGGAAAGGTTGGCCAACTAAGTATAACATTTTTGTGAAGGCAGTGGCAATCCATAATATTGCCAAAAAAGTTGCATGTATGTTATTTAAGTTTGACTCAAGTTTGACTCAAGAGTGTTTTTATTTTCACTCAAAACTCAAATACCCTATTTACACACACAAAGAAGAACGCATACATCCCTTTAAAAGGCCCCCAAAACATAAAAAGGAAAAATATCAAAAAGTGTTAGGTTGAAGTGGAGGAATAGCTCTAAGAAAATGAATGAAAGTGAAACAAAGATAAGGAAACTAGATAGGAATGAGGTAAGAAGTGGTTAACTAGATAGGGAAGGAAAGTAAAGAAAGAAAAACTCAGTTTAAACATCACAAAAAAGTGATAGGTTTACCACCCATACAACTTTTCTCAAGCAGCTGTAATTTTCAAGGGATTAGGGTTATTCTGTAAATAAAGTAATTCATCCATCTAAATTATTGCATTCAATTTTTTTTGCTTTTCTAGTAATTTGCTCTGCAGAGTGTTTATAACAGTCACAGTAAAAAGTCTTAAGATACAAATAAATATACTAGAAATTAATTTTTGTCTTTATGTATTAAATCCTAGAGTGTCAGTTATTGTAAAATACTGAACATAAAGTTGTTTTATAATAAATTCCATCTTCTAGTAACTATAGGAATTCATATTGGTAAACACAACCCTGTTTTCTATTTACAAGAAATCCTTTGTGGTAGTTTTTTTGCCTTAATGTTATATACAAACTCAGTCACCCATTATGGGCCACTGTTATGTATGAACCTGGCCATTGTAACTTGTTTAACAAACTATATCTTAAATGTGTAACTGCATCAAAACAGAAATCTAGGGTTCAATATTTTTTTTCCTTGAAGTAAATCCTATTACACTGAGTGGACTTATTTCTAAACCCATACACATTTGCATTCATTACTACAATTCACAATTTAATAGTTAATATGTACAGTATATTATATCTTAAATTCAGCTTCAGATTCAGTACATACCTGTACACTGGCTGGTATAACTGTAGACCCTGAGGCAGAAGATGGTCTATGTGGAGTTGATAACTGTTTAGTAGCACCCTGTGCTCCACTTCCTGCTGCTCCAGAGGGATTAGTTCTACTAGCCCCACTTGCATTTAAGCTGCTTCCCCTATTGATAGGTACATTCAATCCAACTCCACTCATGTTATTTTTGCCAGCAGTTGCAGAGGCAGAGGAACTGGATAATTTAGAAGGAGCTTGAGGATTCTTTGCTGGTTGAAAGCCTGAGGTTCGGTTAGAGGAAAGTAAATTAATTGTGGAAGATTGTCGGTTGACACTTACTCCACTGGACTGTTTATGAAGGGAATTGTTGTTGTTGGAGTGACTGTTCTGGGATACTAGTGTACTTGGACTGGAAGAACTAGATGATGACATGGGCTTGATTGTAGAGGTGGACTTAGATGAGGGCAGTTTAAGGGATGTAGTAGGTTTGGATGTTACAGAAGGCTTGGGCGCTGAAGGTTTGGGAGAGACAGCTGGTTTAGGAGAGGGAACCATGGAGAAAGGAGGCTTGAAACCCTGGGCAGAAACATGTGATACCATGGCCTTGGCCAAATAATTACTAGAGGTAGAGGTGCAGGATGTTGTCCGAGACACAAGTGGGTGAACCATTTGGGAACTCCCAGAGGTGGCATTAGACAAAGGAAGGCGGTATACTACTGGTTTATCTGAAGTCTTGGTTACTGGGGAAGAACAGGAAAGTTTGGGATTGCTACTTAATTTTACCACAGGATTGGTTTGAGATTTACTAATAGTAACTTGCAGAGGAGACACATATTTTTGTTGGGCAGTGGGCTGCTGGTGAACTTTTGCCACTTGTACTGTTGAGGGACCACAGCTTTGGACTTCTGAGGAGGTTACAAGCATAACTGTATCCTTTGGCCTTTGTGAAGTAGGAGAAGCTGTAGCTTGTCCTTTGCAGGAGGAAGAAATATGGGTCTGGGAAGAAGCAGCTTGTATTTGACTTGACCGCTGTAATCCTTGCTGCAGAAGCTTGGCTGGCAATGGTTCCAAGGAAACCTTGGGATTTTGAATTGAAGATCCAGCAATAAGGCCTGAAGAGATACCAGTCTGAAGCAAATCCTGGGATTTCTTTGGTACTGGTCCTGTGTGTCCAGCTATAAGACTTGATGAATGTTGTGTTTGAACAGCCTCTATCTTTTTTGAGGATGACAGAGGTAATTTGCTCATTATGCTTGCTAACTTCTCTTCTCTTAGCCCAGCCCGAGGTCTTGAAGCAGATGTGTCTACAGGGGACACAACAGAAGAACTCTTGACCCCATTATTAATAGCAGCCAGAGCATCAGAAACAGAATCCAGTGAAGGCGGATTAAATGACAGATCTTCATCCAGTGAGTCATCTAGGCAAATTGTCTCTGGAGCTGGAATAAAGCTGGTTACAGCATTCATAGGTGTGCTAGTACTTGAAGCAGGAACACAAGCTGAAGTAAAAGGGGGACATGCTCTCTGCTCCTTCTTTGGACTAGAGTCCTAGTGTAAAAAGAAAGTGAGAAAAATGAATTTGTTTTTGAATTCTGCTAACACGGATGATGTTACCTAGTTTGTGTAATAAACATCTGCAAGAAAACCATCAAGCTCAAAGAGTACCACAATTCCTTATTTCAAACCCTGAGCTACAAATATTCTCCTTTATTGGAAACAGCTCTTTATAAAACAAAGAATTCTGTGGAGAGAAGAAGAAAAAAGAAAACAGCACAATATATTTTAAAATCTGTTTGTCAGTGAGATCTGTTGGATATGCCTTATTCCAAAGTAGAAAAATCTTTCTTTGTCAGGCAAAAAGCAAATCTTAAAAAAAAAAAGTTAAAGCAAGTATATGACTTGATCAGTCTGAGCTGATTTTATTTCAATGATAATAATGATTCGCATTTTTTATATTATACATATACAGTTTTCATGTTATTTACATCGAATATCCATTAAAATAAAATAGCAAGGGAGAAAATTGAAGACCAAATGGCATGCAAATAGCAACAAATGACATTTTACTTTAGGTATACCCAATATTCTAAATCTGGTATGTGTGTGTATGTTAAAATTTAAAATTATTAGATGCTCAAGGGAAGTTAAAAACAAACCAAGAGTTAAAACAACAAGGAATAGATATAGACTGGTGGCCATACCTGCAAATTCAGGCAAGATATAAAAAGGATCTAGAAAAATATGGCTTCTACAAGGAGCAACAAGAGCTCGATAAAATTATACAGGGACAGAGGAAAATAACAAAATCCCAAAACATCTGGACACCAGTTGAACACCATTGGCACTGACAAAATCACCATCAACTAACTGCGGAAGGCAGCTTTATGTAGAGCAGTTTGCATACTGAGACAATATCTGTAGCATCATCAAACAACATCCGCACCCAGGTTCTTGGGAAGAACTTGATAAGTAGAAAAAAAGGCCAAATCCAGTATAAATATCTGGCTGACTGTGTGATTTGGAATCAATTAATGTGTAATCATATTCATAAAGGCAGGGGAAACTGTTGGAGATACAGCTTAATAATGAAGATTTTATAAAGGCAGTAGCACCAGAAGGCCAGAAATATTTGCGAATTTTCAAAGCTTCCAATTTATTACAGAATCAAGTCAAAGAAAATATTTCTACCAATGTTTCAAATGAGTTTGGAAAATTTTGAAATCAAAATTAAATGATGGAAACATTAAAAACAATATCTGGGTAGTCCCTGCTATTCAATATACAGCAGAAATAGCTGACTGGACCCAGATGGAACTTGATAACTTGGCTTGGAAGACAAGAAAATTAATGAAAATGCACCACACCTCAAAAGTGAAATTAATCAACTTGTGTTTGCCAAGAGAGGGGTAGAGGACATTAAAGGTAAAACAAACTGTGGAGGAAAAAAAGCCTGACCTAAATGACTATATTAAGAAAAACCAAGAACTCTTGCTTGCTTGCACTTGTGTCAGAAGCACTGAGGCATTTCCAGGTTGAAAGGTTTAACCGGTAGCATCACTGTTGTCTGGGGGATGTCCAGTTGGGAGCTCCTTTCATGTCCTCCAGCAGGAGCTGGAGTGAAGAATGAGAGCTCAACCCTGCCCTGACTGCACTCAGGTCTCGAACACGGGCTTGTTAACCTCCATCCCTCCATCCTAATCATGCGAGCCATCATGCTCCTAAGAACTCTTGCTGAAGGTAGTCACTCAAAGAAAGCTTCTTGAAAACAACAATGATGAAGGCTGAATATAGAAAAGAAACAACTGAAAACCAATTTGTTAATTGGAATGGCCACTGCATGGCCAATATGTAAAGAATATAGAAGGAAATTGTGACCAAAAACCCAAATTGGCTAAGATGAGCAGTGTTAAAGAAAGAAACCAAGGGCTTTATTTTACTGGCTCAAAAACAAGCTTTGACAATTAATTGCAAGATGTCAAAATTTCATCATGTAACAAACAGCAGCAAATATTGCCCTGTAGTAAAAAGGTGAAATAATTGACCATTTGGTTGCAGCAAAATTTCACAAAGTGACTTCTGACTGAGTTGTCAGAATTATTTATTGGAAGCTTTTGCCAGAGGTGTGGACTGGACTTGACTGTAGTAAAAACAACTACGACCATCAAGTTGAGAAAGTTCTGGAAAATGAATGAGTTAAGTTCTTGTGTGTCTTTAAGATCCAAACAGACAGGCATCTTGTTCATAACATCCCTATATAAAAGTTTCTGAAAAGATTTAGGAAAAACAATTGGAAAAAACTACAAAATACCAGGACTTGCAGATTGAATTTGAAAGCTTATGGAAAAAGAAATCCGTTGTTATACTGTGATTGGAGCCCTTGGAGAAATACCTAAAGGGTTTTCTCAATATCTGGAAATATAGAATTTATCAATCTAAATATTCTAATTTTACAAAAAAAATCACTTTTATTGGAACTGCTTGTATTCTTAGACGGTACCTTAATAATTTTTAGGTCATTGGTTAGGACTTGGAATTATTAAGTTTTCATAGTCTTAGACTGTGAATCTAAGCATAGATTACTTCAACATAATTTATTATTATTGGTCCTTGGGAAGAACGTGAAAAGAACTGGAAGCTGTGTTTTCATATTGTTGTGAACAGATAATAACTAATAGAAAATCACAAAGCTATAAATACTCTGGTAGAGTTGATTACTGTACAGCTATGGAAAGGACTCAATAGGTGAATAAAAATGCCAAATCCTATCCAAACATCATAATAATTTATTATTCTTGTATTCTACCCAATTACCAATGACTCTGGGTGGCCCACAGAATCAAGCAAAACAGTTACAATAAAATACTTCATTGAAATGCTGCTTTATTTAGTATATCTCAGAGTATTATTTCTTTATTTATTAGTAATTAATTACTTACCTTTCCTTTGGGTTTAGGTGCCAGAATCACCTTCTTCTTTGCCCTGAAGAGGACAGTGCAAAGATAATTATAAGAGTATCTGTAATTTTTACTCAAGCACTAGGTCCAATTGAAAATTTACTGCTATAATTTTATTGCTAGATAGAAAGATAATTAAATCTAGAATATGCACATTTAAACAGCATGTGAAACAACTTATTTAAATTCAGGATTTTTAGCAGGTGACTCTTGCTGAAGTACTGCCACTTTGAACAACAACATTATACCAGATTACACCCAGAATTATTTTCAAATAAATTGGAAGTGCTTCTGAGAATAAGACAAAACAATCTTCAGGGGAAACAGTACATGCCCTGGAGATTAATAGCCTTTCCTAAAAAGTTATTCCATAGTTTCAATGATATTATTGGGAATATTCAAATAGGTAAGCTAAGTCTTTCACAGAACGACTACCTTGCTGGATTTTGAGTAATTACAGCATGAAGGAGAGCAAACCATTAGAGAGGAACTTTATATGTCTGTTTTTCATATAATCCAACTCTACAGCAGCACCCCCTTTCACAAATATAACTGGGTGTAAGAATATGCATAATTATCTAGAAGCAATTGTTTGAAATACAGTATCATGTGGTGTGTGGAAATCCTCAGACAAGTGTGTCTTTATGATTTTTAAAATGTAAAAAAAAATCAGTATTAATTTCTTACAACTGAATAGCAATGTTATATGTTTAATATTAAATGATTAGCTAACTACTTGCTCTAGAAGTTGTTTTCATATTTTAAAGCATAATTTCATATAATGTTTAAGGAAATGTATTGCATACCTCCTGTTTGTAAAATTCATATTTTAGAAATGTCAAGAATAAGCCATAATACATTAGAATGCTGAATTTCTATTACCAATGGAATAACAACCCGAACAATAATAACCGCTGTAATAAACATAAATTATTAAGACAATCACGATTAAAGAATTGCAGATAAACAGGAAAAGTATATATATTATTATACTCACGGAGCAGATGTGAGATGATTATGAACACTTCGGCTTTCTTTAAAGAGCATCCTGTAGAGAGACATATGGAGAAGAAATAATTGTAATTTATCAAATTTATCAATTATTTCTCAAAAATTATTTCATGAACTCATTTATGTGTATACCTGCTTGGCACAAGAAGGCTGCTGAAGACAAATATACTCAAAAATTACAATTTGATAGCCCTCTGCAATATAGGCTACAGCAGGGGGCTGCAGCAAGCAAACTATAAAAACAATCACTTATAAATATCTTAATGAAGGATCATCTACAGATGACAAACAATAATTAAATCAGATGATATAAAACCGACTGCAATATAAAAATTATTAAATTTGTCTTTATTAATTTGTTACATCTGTATGTCATCCCAAAGATTCTGTGAAGCTCAATTACATAAATCCAATCACAACTATAAAAAAAAACCAAAATGGCAACATAATTAATAAAATTACAAACAGTGAAATCTTTTTATATCTGCAAAACAGTGATTATATCAAATGTTCCCTCAATAACTATAAGTCTGATCCAAAGTTGGCGGATCTTCTTCCACAAGGCTACTATTTTTGAAATCTCTTACTCTAGTTACACATTAAGTTACTACACAATACAATTCAACATTTAAGAGCCCAAAGATGCCTGCCTTGCATATTATTTTAAGAGTTCAATTATTATCAAACAATCCTGTAAGTTTCATATCCTCTCAACCAAAATTTCCTTCTCAGTTTGAAAATTTTGAGTAGCAGATATTAGCACCCATCTCCTCACAAAGGAGTATTCAGCTGCAGTGAGTCAAACATCAAACAGTTCAAGCTTTTTGTGTTGAATCATGCAATACAACTTGCCCAATCAATTTTTGTAATTTTGCAAATTTCTAGAGTGACCTAAGAAACCATGCTTGTCACTTCAGCATTGCTATGAAGGCCAATATTGTAACTGTTTAATCAAGATCAATCTCTGAAAAATATTAATCAATGAAAAATATCTGTACACTTGTTGAGAAGCAGAGGAACATCTCACAAAATCTCTGTCTGAGCAGCAAAAATAGTAAATATACCGCAAGATTATTTATTATTTTATATATTTACAATTATTTGTATGTTACCCACTTGAACAATTCATTTGAAAAGCACTGCCCTAGAATATCATTAATTAATGTCACTGGTTTTAATTACTATAAATTTAAGTACCATGTTTCCCGGAAAATAAGACCCTATCTTATATTTTTTGTACCCTGAAATTAATGCTTGACCTTATTGCCATGCTCTCAAAAGCCCAACTGGGCTTATTATAGGGGACGTCTTATTTGGGGGAAACAGGGTATTGCAGAATCTTCCCAAAAGTAGGTATGGCAAAACAGTAATATTTAACCATGGTTTGTAAAGGGATTCAAATCCTAAACTACAATACAAGGGCAGATGTGAATGGATTGCGACGACACACTGACTCTTGTTTGGATTACTGTAAAATGATATAAGGCACCATATATGACATATATTTAGTTTTTTCTGTAAAAAAGTACTGAACCACAAATAGCAACTAGCTTTAAAGAACATAAATACTGATAGAAGGCCTAATGATACCAGTCTTAGGATGGAAGTAATAGAGAAATGACTAATGCTTCATTCTTGATGATTAAATAATATATCTTCAAAATTCTATTTTCTATTGTTCCATCTAACTCTGATCCGTAAAACAGTTTTCTCTCATTATCAAAAGTACGTAATGGATAATCACAAATATTATTTTTTGAAATGTTAGGCATGTTGTTTAATAAATCAACCCTTGGGCATAAGAAATAGCTTTGAAGATTCTACCATAAATACCATGATTTAACTCTGTTCCTTGACATACTGCTTTTGTGTTTTTTCTTTACATCACACATATAACCAGAAAGCAGGGTGGATAAAAATCAATGTTTTTTTTAAAAAAGTCAAAAAAATCAGATTTTTTTATTTAAATTGGATTTTTTTTATTTAAATCGGATTTTTTTGATTTAAATCAGATTTTTTTAAATAAAATGCTTTTTGAGGAAAATATATTACCATCCAAAGGTTATTCCATCATGAAATAAAGATTAGTTTTTTAATTATGTAGAATAAGGCTATATATGTTTAATTTTTTTGGTAAATAAATTCCATTAATCCATTCACAATGTCATGCTCTTCCAGAGGTTTTTGTAAAATTATTGGGCAGTTTCTCTGCCTACAAGATATTATCACCGATGCTTGGTTTACTTTTGCAGTTCTCAAAACTGAATTTGACTCAGCAGAGATCACATGCCTCTTCTTCACAGCAAAAATGTTATAACATGAACAGAGTTGAGAAAAAGACCTTAATCCTATTGTTCTACAAACCTATGAATACAGAATCAACCCCTTCAGTGCTAAGTTTCAAGAAGTTCAGTGAATAGAATAGAAACAATATTTTTCTGATTGTTTGGAGTGGAATAGATCTGCACAAGAAGAAAGTGAAACTAAGTGTGAGGAGGAAGGGGCAAGCAGACAAGCAGTACAAAATGAAAGTGAAACTTTCTGAGCACAATACTGCACAGCCACAGACAGACAAGTCTTTGGATCTTTTTGTGTGTATGACCTGAGGTTTATCACATTCTTTCCTTGGAGGAAAAAACCTATAATGGCAGCAGGCCGTAAAAGAGACCCAGTTTGGCAATATTTTAATGAAGTTCCTTTACCTATCGGTAAGGCAGGCATGTGTGCAAACTGCAAACACTGCAACAAAGAAATGCAAGGCCTGGTGGCCCGAATGAGGTAACATTTTTTTTTTTTTTAAATTTGATTTATATGCCGCCCTTCTCCGGAGACTCAGGGTGGCTTACAATGCGTTAAGCAATAGCCTTCATTCTTTTGTATATTTTATACAAAGTCAGCTTATTGCCCCCACAAACTGGGTCCTCATTTCACCTACCTTAGAAAGGATGGAAGGCTGAGTCAACCTTGAGCCTTGGAGAGATTCGAACCAGCAGAAATTGCAGGCAGCTGTGTTAATAACAGGGTGCACTAAACCACTGTACTATCAAGACTCTACATGAGAAGTGCTGTGATGAAGATGACCAAAGAAACACATTTGAACAGGCAGGATCTTCAGGTTGGTAAACATTTTTATTGAATCATATTTCTAAAGACTGCCTTGAACTGTCATGTTTGAGCAAAATTATATTTCTTATTATTACTGCATGTTACTGTCATTTGGTACAGTTATGAAGAAAAGCAAATATTCCTTTTGGGGCAGTGCTGTGTATAATAAGCAGAAATTGTATAAACAATAAAATAACAGCGCTGACATTTTTGTTTAGGGAAATTCATGGATTCTGGAAACTATCCCCCTTCAAGATCACCATCCTCCTGTTCTACAGTTTCAGAGTTATCCATTCAGGATAGTGCTTCATTAGCATCATCATCATCAGACACCCACAGCCACATATCACTATCACCTAAAAGAAAGAAAAAACCCTTCCCTCCTGGAACCACCATAGATAAGTTTGTGATAAAAACTAGCAGATTAGAAAAAGAGTTAATTGATGAAAAAATTGCCCAGTTTGTTTATGCAACGAACTCTTCTTTCCGTCTGACTGAGAACCCACATTTCATTAATATGGTTCAGTCACTGAGACCAGGATACAGTCCACCCAGCAGAGCAGATGTTGCACGGAAACTGCTGGATAAAGTGTATGACAGAGAAATGGAGCAATGTGCAACAGCTCTGGAGGGTAGAATTGTTAACCTAAGTATTGATGGGTGGAGTAATGTCCACAATGATCCTATTGTATGTGCTTGTATAACAACAGAAGAAGGGAAAGTCTTCCTTGCACAAACAATTGATACGTCAGGATATGCACACACAGCAGAATACTTACAAGAAGTGGCAGTAAAAGCTATAATAACATGTGAACAAAAATTCAAATGTCTAGTACGCAGTTTGGTCACAGACAATGCGGCAAATGTATCCAAGATGAGAAGAAATTTAGAAGAGCAGGAAGGGAATACAAAGTATGGTTGGGAATACAATATGGTTGCAGTGCTCATTTGCTGCACCTCTTAACCAAAGACTTAAGTGTTCCAGAAATAAAGACTAATGTTGTTGAAATTGCTAAATACTTCCGTAACAATCATTTTGCTGTAGCAGCTCTGAAAAGGATGGGTGGAACCAAGCTAACGCTCCCACAAGATGTTAGATGGAACTCTGTGGTGGACTGTTTTGAGCAGTATATCAAGAACTGGCCTATTCTGGTGACAGTTTGTGAAGAAAATTGAGATAAAATAGATGGCACTGTCACGGCCAAAATCCTCAACATTGGGCTTAAGAGAAATGTTGAACATATGCTGAGCATCCTGAAACCCATCTCTGAAGCTTTAAACAAAATACAGAAAAATAACTGTTTTATTGCTGATGCTGTTGAAATTTGGAAGGAACTGAGTGAACACTTAAAAACAGAACTACACATGGACAGAATTAAATTACAAGCATTAAAAAAATGAATGGGACAAGTACTGTCTCCAGCTCATTTTTTGGCAAATATTGTCAATATCCAGTATCAGGGTCAAAATTTAAGTGCTGAGGAAGAGGAGTTAGCTATGACATGGGTATCCAGCAATCATCCATCTGTAATGCCAACTATAATAAACTTCAAAACTAAGGGGGAACCATTCAAGAAATATATGTTTGCTGAAGATATTTTAAAGAAAGTCACACCAGTGAACTGGTGGAAGTCACTTAAGCACTTGGATTTAGATACGGTTCAAGTAATGATTTCACTTTTAACAGCAGTAGCTTCTTCTGCAGGTGTTGAAAGAATATTCTCTTCCTTTGGACTCATTCATTCTAAATTGAGAAATCGTTTGGGACCCGATAAAGCAGGAAAGCTTGTTTTTCTTTTCCAGATTATGAACAAAGAAGAAGATGAAGATGACGAGTGAGCTACAGAGAACAGTATTTAAGTTTTTCATGTGTAGGCTGGGCTGACAGTCTAAGTTTCTTAAAATATATATATTTTGTTTAGCCAGATTAGT